TTAAATAAGATATAGTTATTTCCAGTCTATTTGGAGGAAGTTCCTTTTAAGGAGGTTTGCCCAAGGTAGGTTAGCCAATTAATGGCTGTTAGACCGTATGTGGATCTGAGAGCGGATACTGACCCTCGTATTGGCGTATATGGGCCGTAGGTTAAGAGATCTTCCCCTTGGTGATTCCACACTTGGGTTTTAAGTTCAGACAAGAACAACAGTCGGTTCCATTATTTCGTGCATAGTAGGTTAACCATCCTACTCGCGTGACAGACTCGTCTGTTTTACGGGTGTCCACTTTTTCTCGATCCTCTCGGCAGTAAAGATGGTTCTATTCCTTGGGAAGTTCGAGGTTATCCAGATCGACCCGGAATTGTATTATAAAAAGTTCAACAGAGTATCTGTAATGTAGTTATAGGCCACAGGCATTCAGGTTTGATCTGCACATAGATAGTCCACAACGCAGCCGGAGAAGCTCAATAAGCGCTACGAATCAAGACATGGACAAAATGTGTCTAATGATCTCCTGGTCATCCAATTAGTAGCAATACGGCGTCTACGCGGTTCGCCCCTCCCCCAGGGGCTTCGTCAGGACGTACGTGACGTCCTGGTGTCATCATGTTCTATACACTGTGTATATGACATGTAGAAACCGAGTGATACACCGTCACTAGGATAACAGTGCGAGTCTGAAAGGAGCGCTGTAACAGCCAGCAAGCTCGGCGGTTTGGGTGAGTATTACTTTTTTTATTTTTGCATCTAAATGAAAACAAGCAGTTAACCCTTGCTGTGATGGGGTAGCCCCACTACAAGAGTTCATTTAAAAAAATTGCCCGGAGTTCTTCCTTAATCACTTTGAGATTTGTAGCTCTTGAATGAAAAGCAGCTGAAGCTGTAAGTCTCACTGCCACTCTACTTGGAGTGGAATACAATTGGTGGAACTGTGGGCTGACATTTGGGCCATAGCAGTGGACACTGCTGACACTATGACATGGCAGACAAATAAAGAGAGGTAGAGAAGACCCCTCAAGCAAATAAAGCAGTAGCTTTCAGTATTGTGGGTTTGGCATCGTAAGCTTTTGGCACCGCCACTGTATAACTTGGTGTAGACGTTCCCAGTGCAGGATGTGAGCATGCAAATTACTTGTAGTTAAAGAACTCTTAAGAAATGTTTTAAACTTTCATTTGGTCCTGTTCAAATCTGTCCTGCCTTTGCTAAGCAGAATGGTCAGACAGTTTACCAACCGCTGTCCGACCACGCTGCTAGCAAGGAGATGGAAGTTTGAGTGACAGTGCTGGTCTTTGGCAGCAGGAGCCACTCATAACAGATCACACAGCCTGCAGGCTGTGTGTCTAACTGTGACTGCTTGTAAATACACAGCACTAGCAGACCTATCACACAACTCCTCAGTGTTAAGTGATCTTTTACAATTATGAATGAGCAGGAAGAGCTGTGGGGCTGTCTCATAAACAGCACTGACCCCGACAGCCTTAATTGTTCATTAATAACAGTAAAATTTCACTCAGCACTGAGGGGCTGTATGATCTACCTGCTGGGACTGTGTATGTTTACAAGCAGTGGCAGATAGACGCACAGCACAGTGAATGATCAGCACTGCAGGGCTGTATGATAAAGCTGCTGGTGCCCTGGACATTTACTAGCAGCCGGCAGCTCTATCACAATGCGATGCAGTGCTGATTGCTTATTTATAATAGTACAAGAACAATCGGCTTAAAAAGGGGCGGTGCGTCAATGCCAATTGTACCTCCCCCCACAGGAATGACCATATATTGGGCTTCAGACTGGGTGGAGCTACAGCCAGCTTTAAAATAAATAAGGAGGTGCTTTGAAACCACAATGGGGCCACCGATGAGAATGGGAGCAAGTGCTATATGAACTTGGTCCCCTGGGGGATTAAATAAAAGTTTAAAACAATTTGTGAAAGTTCTTCTTAAACTTTTGAACTTTCTTTACTGAAATGTTATTTTATTCTGTACAAAATGGAAAGCAGCAACCCTTCATTTTAAAGCTATCAGTCTCACATCATAATCATTGTTTCCACAGCAACACTTCTTTTAAGTGGCTTACTCCCCATGGAGAACTAATGACTTTTTCTTCTTGCCTTGACTGCAAAGAGAAGTCATGCTGATAATCCTTTGGGGGGATTCGGGCAACTTTGTATTGACCCGCTCTCTAGAGATATCCTTCTCACCATCCAGGTTTCTCAACTGCACCACACTACACATGCTGACCTTCTCTATCTTGACTGGGGAAATCCACCAATCCCAAAGAGGGCAGGCCAAACAGTTAACTCCTTAAGGGAGATTAAAATACCCCCCAATGTAACCATATAATACCAGAAAACACTGCACATCATACCTTGCTGAATCTAAACAGTGTACTCATTCATGCCAAACAGTAAGTGGTACATACTTATGTAGCCCTATTGTGGTGTCAGGTTCTTTAACCACTTGAAGACCAGGTGTTTAGACCCCCTTCCTGGCCAGGCCATTTATCAGTATTCAGCGCTGCAGTACTTTGACTGACATTTATTCCGTCATGCAGCGCTGTACTGAAATGAATTTTATACCATTTTTTTGGGACAGATAGAGCTTTCTTTTGGTGGTATTTAATCACCACTGGGATTTTTATTTTTTACTGTATTAGGGAAACAATACCGAACATTTAGGAAAAAAACCCAGTTTTCCTTATATTATGTTAATGAAACAGTGCAAATAAATTATCTTTCTTCATACATTTAGGCCAAAATGTATTATGCTACATTTCTTTGGCAAAAAAAATCAAATAATCAAAATAAGTGTAAATTAATTAGAATGTGTTACAGTTATACAGTCTACAAAACTACAAAACAATGGCATAAATATTTGAAATGTAACAACCCTGCTGCCCTGACTTCCTATCACATTTCTTGAGGCCCTAAAATACCACAACAGTAGAAACACCCACAAAATGACCCCATTTTGGAAAGTAGACACCCTAAGGTATTTGATAAGATGCATTGTGGGTGTTTTAAAGATGTCAATTTTTTGCACACGTTTTTAGAAAATTAAGATTTTTATTTTTTTTATTTTTTTTAAACACAAATTTGTCAGTTAGTAAGCTATTTCCTATACAAAGCACAAGCATAGCTATATTTATATCCTAAAACACATTCTGCTACTCCTTCCGAATATGGAGATACCACACATGTGAGACTTTTTTT